CTTTTGTACCTCCTCTTCATTCTTTCCTCAAGCAACTGGGAAACTTCTGATAGTCAGAACTTAATTAACTGCATGTTCCTGAAACGGATTAGAGAATAGCCTGGTTTTAATCTTTCAGCCACTTCTTTTCAATGGTGTGATAAAAGATTTTGGTACCCTTTAAAAGCAAGGTCATGCCGTAAAAGATTTCTCGTTTTTCCTCTTGCAGTGAGGCGGTAGTGGTAGTCACAGTGGTCAGTGTAACACACAGAAACACCTTAAAATTCAAAAGGCAAAGAGCATCTTACCATAAAATAACAGAATGCTTCTCAAAGAGAATTTACCCTTTTGATTTATTTGGAAATTTCTTACCCCTAGGATAGTGCCACAAGTGGTACTTGATGTCTGTTGACTTAAATCCCCCTGATGTGGATTCCCAGGCTGACTGCAAGCAGGGATGTGGCTGTATCCTCATAACCCATGATCCGCCTGATCATGGGTCTCCTGCACACCACCCTCAGGACACACCAGGCTCCTCGTTGAAATCCAACATTCATTCCCCTGGGTTCTGAGACTCCCAAATGCACGACGTGTTCTTGGATTAGGGCCGCATTTCAGATGTAATGTGTTCATGCTGACAGCCTAGGATGTATTAGGTCTGTATTCTCTTCCTTAATGCTCAACCACTGAGACGGGAAAACAAAGTCCATTTTGACCAAAAAACTCCTTTCCATCTAGATTTGTAAAGCTTTCAGCCACATATTTTTTTGAATTAGTCTTTCTGACTTAAATATCTAGAAGTGTTTTCTTTTTATTTGAAAGAATTTTACAAGTATCCAAAAAGTCATTTTCTCACCAACTCAGTAAAATACAACAATTAATATTTAATTTTTTATTGCACACATCAACATTTTACAGAAAGATAAAGAACCCCTTCTTGTGACACTGCAATTATATGTTTTCTGATATTTTTCAATGGGATCAAAAGTTTTTACACAAATATATAATAAGCACATGTAATAATATATGTCCTGATGAACATTTGAGTCTTGTTTATATACTTCTTGCATACCACTGTATTTATTACCAATATTATTTAAGAGCTATATAGCAATTTACAATAGCAATAATAAGACACCAAAATTATTTATTCATTTCTCAGCTAATGGACTTAAAAAACTGTTATGTATGGAATTCCTATAAACATCTTTGTACAAGTAGTTTTCTAATATTTTTCTAGCTATATGCTACTGGAGGTGAATCAGTATTTCAGAAGACAGGTCAGGAGCAGGAACTTGGCCTTGAAGTTGAGAAGCTAGCATTCCTCACCACAGTGCTAGTTCAATCCCATGTTTGGTTGCTGAACCCAGCCTACTCATGTGTACCTTGGGACAATCCCCAGCAGGCCAGAGTGATGGTTCAAGTCACTGGACTCCTGTCAGCCAGAGGTCTTGGCCTGCCTGTCCAGCTCCTACCTTCTACCTCAGATTGGAATCCATTTTCCAAAAAAAAAACATTTAGCACTTGTGTAACATAAATAGCTATTCTTAACCTTTTAGTACTCCACTTTTGTTTTTATTGATCTATCTTGTCAATAACTTTTTCATTGCCCTGAGGTTGTCCTATTACTGGGATGACTGTAGTCTTTTATTTTTACTCTTCTATTTAACATTTTAATTCATCTAGAATAAATTCCATTATCACACATTAATATCTTTCATTGTAATTATATCCAGCTAATCTTTTCACCACCAGTTTTAAGTATTCATTCCAAATGGCTTATACTAGTCTTGAACTTTCCAACTCAACAATATAAGATATTTAGTGACAAAGTTTTTTTTTTTCTATCTTTCCTTACTCTCCTTTATGGTCTACCATATATTTGTAAAGTTAAACAAAATAATCCAATTGTAGCGCTAAATGTAACTGACAAATCTACATGTTAATTCATACTGGCATTACTTTGGATGTGATTTCATTTATACTATCTAATTCTCACAATTTTGTGTAGCATCATTTCCATTTTATGCATTCATGAAAAGGAAGATTAGACTACTGGTTAGTAATGAAGCAAGATTCCCTATTTACCACTTTGCATTATGTCAGGATGCTTCAAATGTATGACAATTTTAAGTTTAGCTTCTTTAGCTTGCTTCTATTTAAACATCTTGCTTAATTATTCCAGTACAGTAGTACAATTTTCTTTAAAAGGCTCATATGTATTAAAATTCTAGCATTTTTAAAATTGTAGTCACCATTAAAAATTGTAGTCACCATTAGCATGTAGAGTAACTTCTAAAAATGATGTGTCTTGCAATGTCCTGAATTAATCTTTTATTATTAGATATTTATATGATAATAAAGACTTAACCAGCAATAAAGCTGTTCACAGAAAATATTTATGCTCTCTTTTTACCTTTCTCGTTTTGTATACTTTATGGCAGTGACAAGCTTAAAATGATGCCACTATTAATTTCTTCTTTTTTTCTAATACTTCTTACATGTTTGTCTACTAAGCATGATACTTCAGTTATTATCATACTGTGATAAGCCAACAAACTCATTCCCCCAAAAACAACTAAATCAAAACAGAATGAATCTTTTCAACAAGTACACGTAGCTATCTTTTGGAATTTTTACATTTTAACCTATAAATGGTGCTCTAACAACCTTATAATCCTGTAACACAGTAAACATTTTTATTTATTGCTGTTACTGACTGTCAATATTTGCATTTTGCAATGTCTTTTAGTATTGAGTCCAAATTTGTCTCAAAATGCAATTAGTAGAAAGATTTTATTATTTAAGCTTTTGAAAATGTTCACCAAAAGAGCGTATCAAGTTCAAATTCTAACTTGTCAGTAAATTAAACTGCATTTTAATGCTTCCTGAACTTTAAATGTTTTTTGTTGTTGTTGTTGTTGGCTACAACTCTTCTCATTTCAACTTATTTTGTACTGATGTAGGAAATGTAATCATTTTGTTAGTATTTTTAGGTAATCCTTATTTTTTACTTTTTAAAAAATTTTCATATGTAGCCATAAAATTTTTTGCAATATCTTCTTATTCCTTGTCTCAACATCTTAGACATAATTCTGGGATAGTGAGAAAGTTTTCAGTAGGTCTGGACTACCTTCACATAAATGTTATTTTAATTTATTTTTACTTGATTACTATTGTGTGAGTCATTTCAGGCATCTCAGTTGCTCTGGACTACTTACACAAGAAAAGCAGTATTATCACCTCTCCATGACTTTTCTTATAGTAAGCTGTCCCACTACTTAAGTCCTTCTGTCTTATTTCCCTCAGACAGAGCCCAATGAAGGACGATTAGGAGCATATTTTGGCCAACTAACATTTACTTTTTATAACAGTGTTAACTTATCCAAAGTCTGCTTCAATAAGAGTTACAGCTATAACATAGAATTACTTTTAATCAATCTTGATCTTCAAATTTCTGATTCAATAAAAAGCTGCAAGTGTTAAGTGTGTCCACTTCTCCCCCCAGCAATATTAGATTCTGATTTCATGGTTATCTTTTCCTTCCATTCAGTATGTACACTATACTGTGAATTAGACACAAAGGGTTTTGTAAGCATGGTAAGCTCCAGTGACAGCTGTTTTACATAGTAGACTGAGAAAATTATAAATAATTAAGTCTATTTCCTCCTTAAAAGTATGTGGTATAATAGCTGTCTCATACTGTTGTTAACTGTTATAAACAAGCACAATATTAAATGCCTGGCACACCATGAATGCTATATTCCAGAAAGGACTTGGTTCTTATAGGACCACTCACTGTTCTTCGCTTCAAGAAAATGGACATGAGACTAAATGAGGAGGCTCACCTCTCCTGACAGCCTCACTAAAGAAGAACCAGTTTTGTGCTTTCTGGTGGCTCTGAAGAGAATCGAGTTTTTATTCTCCATAACTAAGCAAAGAGACAGGAATGATTATAAAGATGGTTACCTAGGGTGGGACACAAGGTAAACGTCCCTCCAATTCATTCCTGTCAGTTGTAGTCAGCCCTGCCAGTTAAGGTGGTAGTCAAAAAAGAGTAGGTTTTACCTAGAAACCTTCAGGTAATCTATTCATGGACAGTTTTTAAACCATCTGTAATCTCAAGTTTTAAAATGATTCACTCTGTCTTCTCCTTAGCAATTTCTTTTTAGGAATTCCAAATGGGCAATCTCAAGTAATATCTTTCCTGTAGCATCTTTTTGCTGAAGTATCTTTTCCTGAGGCAATTTCTTTTTTTGGGGGGGGGGCAGGTAGGGTAAGGGAGGGGAAGAGGCTTGGGGGGACGGTAGAGAGAAGTGGCACCTGAGTTACTTCTGGGAAGTCCTTTACTCTGATGTGCTAAAGCAGAGCAGGACTCTGCAGGAATTTTCTGAGCTCTTCTGCGAAATGAAATCAGGCTCTTTTGGAAAGCAGAAGGTATGGCGGGTGGCTTCACTGCCCTGTCAGTTACAAGGATAAATGGCAAAATGTAAAATTTCTTCACGAACAACAACAAAAAAAACATGCAAAGTTAATCTTGTAACAAAATATATCTTTGATCATACTGGAACTTGTACTAGTTGATATTCCCACTATAAAGTGTGTATGTTTCTATAATATACAAAGACTCATATAATGTACTGTTTCACTATTTAAACAAAGGTGACAGCAATATAAGAGCTGCCAAACTAACTAAAATACACCTTAGAGAGTTAACTGTCCTGTAGCAAACGACAAAGTCTGAAGATCAACAGTAGGTACAGTATTTTCTTTAAGCAAAGCTGCTAAGGTGGAACTCAGTACATATGCTATTAAAATATGGAGCAGGTTCTGGAACAAAAGCTACGATACCCAATACATCAATTAGTGACAGGTTAATAAAGAACACCCAATGTTGAATATCCTATAGAGTCAGAGACAAAATCCTCAAAGCAGTCACCATCAAACCACTTCCAATTACTCCTAAGGAAACATGGCCTTTAAATGAGACTATCCTGAATGACAAGATGAAAAGGATTTCCAATTGACTACTTTCTAATTCCGAAGTTGCTGCTCTGGGCTTTCTGGGTTTCTGCTGTCCTCAGAGGATTCCAGCTCGGCCATGGGTTCATGGGTCCCAGGAGCCTCTGGTGGCCTGTCATTACTGTCAAAGATAATGTCTTCTGGATTTGGAGGTGGAGGGCAGAATTCTTCACTTGGAAAGATTTCCCGGAAAAGTGTTTCAGCTTGCTTGACTGCATGTTCGTTTCCCAGATCGCAGTCAGGCCCAGAGCAGACATAGGCGTTGGGGGGTAAGCCGGTGTAAGAGCTTCTGCTGATTCCTGAGGAATCTCTCATGTTAAAATAAAGAGCCCACAAAAGTCTTGGCTTTGTAAGTCCTTCCTTTTCCCCTTCTGATGCAGAATAAGGAATGAATAATTTCTGTGTTACTGGTTCTAGGTCTTCTCGAGCTGTTTTTGAAGAGGAGCAAGTTAGATGGACCAGATGTGTACCTTTCATGCATGTCATCGTTGAAGAACATAATTCGGTGACCCGAACGGAACAAGTCCCTGCTTCCACTGGAGGCACTACCAAAATGGAAATCTCCTGATCTGAATCTGTCTTTAGTAAAGACTTATCTGTAATGAGCACCGCCCTTGAGATCTGCTTATACTGCACCTCTGAGCAGGTTTCCTCAGAAAGGTAATGGTCCCCCATGATAAAATACTTAGCACTTATTCTTTGGCCAAAGTGATCTATAATGGCTTTACATCTTCCAGATTCTTTATCAACTACAAGACACTGCACTCTATGACGAAGACAATAGATTCCACCAAAAACTGCACACATCCTGCAGAAACACTGCGGAATTTCTCCTTGGCCATACACAGGAAATAAAAAGGGAGTGTTGCCAAACCGTCCAAGACACTGAAGAAAGTTTTTTGTTGCCTGAAGACCATCTAATGTAGTACACGATGATTCTGATGTCATTGCAATTGAATGTAGTATAAAATGTTGGAGGTTGGGAGTTAGTTTTTTAGTTTTCAAGTACTCTGAAAATGAACATTGTTTGAAATCTTGGTATTCATCTGGATGCTGCTCATAGTCTAAACAGAATGTAAGAAATTTCATGAGCATCCTCTTTTCAACCATGGTGAGCTCTTTGCTATTGAAGACATCTGCTCTAGAACAAGGCACCTGTTCCACCTTCCCTTCCCGAAATGCAAGAATCCTGGTGACATTTTTAAATTCTGCATAACGACTAACATTCGATTTGATTAAGAGATCAATGAGGGATCCCTGAGAATATAGTAGCTTTGATACCAAGTCAATGTTAAATCTCCTCCCTTCTTTAACTAGTTGAGAATAAGTAATGGCATTTCCCTTTCGTTGGTTAGAACTGTCTTCTGTAGAGTTGTTTTCATCTTTATCTCCACTGGAGACTGTGAATGTACAAGTTGTATCTCCACAACACTTTTCTTTCTCTAGTGATTCCTCTGTGTCAGTTGCTTTGTGTGAAATCACTGCCTCACTGTTTTGAGTGCGTTGAGCAAACATTTCATAGCCAGCACTGTCTGATGACAGTTTTTGTTTGGGCAAGGCTGCAGAATCCAGAGGTTCAGTGAGAGCAGCAGATCCCATTGAAGAAGGATTTTTCTGCATCGTACCAATCTCTTCAGCAGTGTCCTCCACATCATGATTAGCATAACAAAACACTTCGGTGTGTTGAATGCTTTTATCCTTCATGCAGAGAGGGATGGCTTCTTCTGTTTCATGGATCGAGTCTTGCCATGTAGCAGTACTTCCTTTGTCAAGGTCACTGCTTGGCTGATACTCCTCTAGCCAGGACAGTAATCCGGAAAAGCTGAAACTAGCCCAGTTTCCTCCATAATAACTTCTTGAGTCAACATGCAGGACTCTCTGACCACTTCTTGCACATGCAGCGGCAAGGATGGACTCTGGCAAACCTGTCCCTATTATAACCACATCAAACTCTGTGGGGAGCCTGTCCGCCATCCTAGGAGGCAAAGCGTCTGCAGGCAACTGCTGGAAGAAGGAGCTGCATATGAATACAGGCGGAGAACTCCGTTGAGATGTGACTGTGCAGTGCGAAAATCTCTCCTCCTGAAGCTCCAGCTCAGCTCAGGAGTACTAGGCTGCAGGTCCTAGTGAGTTAATGGTTACCCTTTTAAAGTATTGCTTTATAAGTCAGCAGTACAAAAACATTATAAAGTACATTAGATCACATCTGAGAATACTAAAAAGGATGTGTGGTTTTCATTTCTGCATTTCATCTTAGCAGTAATGTCAAAATGCATCACACATGCATTTGTGACTGGAACTCTTCTCTGAAAGAAGAAAATTCAAAAAAGAATACAATTGTAAACAATACAGAAGTAATTTCATGCAACAGCAATTACAACCCACTGGAGCCTGACTTCTTATTTGGGTGTAAACCTCTACTAAAGCAAGTCATTAAATTCTTTCTCACATTTTCTAGGTCCTTGAAAATAAACAATAGCATATAACCTGCAAATCAGGTAATGTAACAATAAAAATTGGACATAATGTTTCACAACAGTTAATTTAATTCCATAGCTTTTAAGAAAGTATTCGAATAAATACTTGGCACAACTGTAAGTTAGACTAAAAAAAAAATGCGTGGCTCCCCAGTATTTTTGGGAATGGACTGTGTACTTACTATGTGCACACCATCATGATTAGGAATATTTCTGTGACCAGTATAGTACGTGGATGATTCCAGAACAAACAGGAGACCTTTCCATATCCCAACCACTTCAGCATCTCTCATTACCAGTAGATCATTTTGAATAAGTTAACAAGCCAGATTATGACAAAAGGATTATTAATTCCATTACATAAGTGACATTTAAAAATATTCAGGAGTGTAAAATGGGCATACCAAAGAGGGAAATACCTAGCAAATTTTCATGTGAATCTCCGTATACCCATCCATGTGTGTTTTTCAAGAGTAAAGTATGAAGGTAAGTTACTGGCTTCATATATCAAATATCTTCAAACAGGATAATGTTTGCATTTTGCCAGATTTTCCCACCAAGTGCTAAATCTCTATATCCCGAGAAAAAGGTCTGAAGCATCTCTTGCCAAGATGAACGTGTTGTGTGTTAACTTTTGCTTTTCAAGGGGTAGTGCACAAAGGCTCCCTTTTCTAACTTCCAGCACAATGCTCAATTGATGGGACATGCAGGAAGGTCAGTGTGATGCCAGGGTTATCCAGAGGAGGCACAAAGAAGAAACTGAAGGGCAAGCTAAAACACTGCACACACCAACTGCTACATCATTCATCAACGTACAGTAACAAGTGATCTCTGATTTTCACTAAGTCTGCTGAAATGTACATCAGAACAAGCTGCATCTGCTAATGCTAAGATGACTAACTGAATACTGGTAAAAGCAATCATCTATCAAGAACGTAAATGGAATAGGTCACTGACCTCACTCGTCAGTGAATGACAGTCCTAATAATGCTACTCAGTCAGAGCCGCTGCCTAAAAGAGGATTTTCAGCTTTCCCTGAGAAGCCAGATCTGGGCACAAAGTACAGTGGCAGCCTGGGCCTTTGTCCAGCAGGGTGCAAAGAGGCAGACAGAACTTATGATGGTACTGGAAGAAGAGTAACCATGGTTCTTGATTTCGAAGAGTACAGGGCTGAGGGAGGGAGAAAAAGACAACAGAGGCCCAAATCACTGACGCTTTCTAACCTGCAGATATCAAAGGTCTTACCAAAACACAAAGCAAGTGGGATGACCTTAAAGAACACTAAACTCAGCCAAGAGAAAACCAAAGCTGAAGAGCTTAACTCTCACATCCTAAGGTGAACAGTCCTCCCAGCAGATAGGGCAGCCTCGCAAAGGCCTACCACCTCGCTCCTCCCTGGCGTTCTGCCTTCTCCCTCCAGTACACCACAGCTCGCTGGCCCTGTGACTGCTTGGTTAGTCCTTGCTCAGAGATAACAAAAGAAGTGACGCACCTTTCTTTCCTTCATCCTTAACACTAATCTAGAAGCAAAATCCTAACAGATGACTTACTGAAAACCCAATGCTGCCTCCTTTTCAAACTCCCAGACACAGTCTCTCAGCACAGACAAGGCACTTCAAGGAAAAATAACTCTCAGGTTCACTAGAACACCACCTTTTATCCTCTAGAGGGGACATTACTGATACTTTACACACCGGCTTGAATTGTCTTCATTAAAGCTTGTCCCTGTCTAAAAAAAAACTGCTTTGGTGGGTATTTTTTTTATTAAAATAAAAGTGTTACCACAAAGTCATCTATATTACCATCTACACATGAAATCCTTGCAAAGTTCTCAAATTAATGCTTATTGGAAAGGACAGGGTCATCCGGGTAATCAAATCAATGTAACCATGTTTTCTATGAGATTCCTTGCTTCCTTCAAAATATCAAAAATTAAATAACTATAAATATTTGAGTTATACAAGACAGGAGGCAGTTGAGTAGGAAAATATTTTTGCTACCAAACTTTGTGCTCCAAACCTGCCAAGATAAAACTCATGAATTACCCATGGGGTTGATGATTAAAATCTGGAATTTTATGACCTCAAAAATATTCCTTCTAATGTTAGTACAAACAAAATGCCTGCAGCACACACATAAAAATAATTTCTTTCCCGAGCTTATAAAATCACAACTTCAATGTTAAACGGGGCTGGTCGTGCTTCAAGACATGAAGTCTCCCGTAATGATGAGAAGCACTGTAGGAATAAATCTTCAATGAATAACCAAGTCCTACTTTGATGAAATCGGCTGCACAGCGAAGTATGTGTTCCCCGGGGCTGGGATTCTGAGACACCTGTAATCTCACTACTAAGGAATGACAGACAGTTAAGTGCAGCTAGACAGTGCGAATGCATTTGCATTCTGAATGAACAACCCCACTCCCTAGGAAGCATTCAAAGGCTTACAACGGCTAATGAGAAAACCTATTTACATGTGGCTACTATTGCAGCTTTCTACCCTCCCATAACGTGGGAGGCAGGCATCATTATTAATTCAAGCACTTCTCGTTCCCTCTCCAACTTTCACGAATTAATCACTTTTTCCTTGATCTCTCCACTCCACAGGCCCTCGTGCTCTCCCTCACAGGGTCAAGGCTGACGTGTCATGCCCTGTTGAATTTCACTAGATGAAAACAGAACTGGGGTGCTGGCCAGCAGGCAAGGAAGGGGGGCTGCAGGGGAAAGCAGGGTGGCGTGGCGGGGAGCCGAGGCCGCAGGGGGCGAGTGGAGCCCTGCGATGGGGCGGGACGAGGGAAGGCGGGTGAGGAGCGGGGCGGCAAGCTGTGCGGCGGGGATCAGGGCAGCGAGGGTTAGGGGGCCAAGCTGAGGCCGAGCGGAGCCTGGGTGGAAGCGGGAAGCCGGCGGAGGAGGGCAGGATGCCGTCTCCTCCCAGCCCAACTCACCGAAGAGGCTGCTGCTAAACCCGTCCCACACGCAGCCCACGGTGTCCCATACCCAGCCGTTCCTCAGGCAGGACACGAAGGTAAAGGTGACCCCGAAAAGGGACACCAGCAGGTCGCTGAGGCTGAGGTTGACCAGGAAGAGGTGTGTGGGAGTGCGGAGCCGCTGGAACTTGTAGTAGAGCACCAGCACCAGCAGGTTGTTGCCGACGCCCAGCAGCCCGAGGGAGCCGAACAGCAGCGCCAAGCGCTCGTAGGTGTTCGCGCTGAAGAGCGGCGCGGGGCTCACCGTGCCGGCTGGCTCCGACTCCTCGGCGTCCTCCCAGTGGCCCTGGCCGCCGCTCCGGTTCCCCGAGTACATGGCCCGGCGCCGGCACGCTGCGCCCTGGGTGGGGCTCCCGACCCGGGCGCTCGCCGGACCCACTGCGCCGGGAGCCGAGTCCTCCCGCGCGCCGGCGCCGCCCTCCCCACGCCCCTTCCGCCCCGCGCGCCCGCAGCCACGCCCCGGCGCGCTCGCGGAACCTGCCGGCTCGGCCGCCCTCTCCACCGCGCCCGACGCGCGCTCGCGGAGCCTGCCGGCTCAGCGTGCCTGATGCGCGGCCCGCATCCTCCACCGGGCCCCGGCGCGCGCTCGCGAAACCTGCCGGCTCGGCCGCCCTCTCCACCGGGCCCGACGCGCGCTCGCGGAACCTGCCGGCTCAGCGTGCCTGAGGCTCGGCCCGCACCCTCCACCCGGCCCGACGCGCGATCACCGCGCCTGCCCCAGGGGCGAACTCGGAAGACAGAAGCAAAGAGGCAAAGTAGACCTCAGTACCAGTCTACTGCACCCGGCTGGAAAGCGTCGTGTCTATTCACCCATGCATTCCAAGTATCCGTTTCAGCTCCTCTGTCTACCTGGAGCTTGGGACATGATGTCTTGTCCTGGCATGCTAAGTTTCAGGATAAGGAAGAGGCTGACATTATTGAAGTGTGGGGCAGACTGAGCACCATGATCTGCTGCTGCCTGCTTTCTGTCCTAAGTGGTGGCAGATCTGTCCTTTCCTCAAGGCCCATGGAAGCCCTTCACGGAAAATGCATGGGGGCTGTGCACCAACGCTTCAACCTCAATCCAGCGGCCCTAGAGCGGAAGGTCTTACATTTAGAACAATACACGTTTTCTGCTGGGCCTTTGCCCCAAGAGGGATGAAAAATACAGTGTACGTCAGATATAGACTGAACGGGATCACAGCCAGAGATTGCTTCTTTTGGCTTTGTCATGCCCGATCCGAACCCAGGCCTAACACACAGGTAGCAGTCCTGAGCCACGTTGCAGGCTGTCACGGGTACCAATGACTGCCGCGGTCTGTGGGAGCTAAACTAGCTGTTCTCCATGAGGGTGTTTGAGCCTTCCACCTCTGTTCAAGAGATCAATCAAGTGTGACTGCGGTTTTAATGGATCCCTTTTCTGCATTCCCACAGGATGCAGTCTAATGGGCTGGCCAGTCGATTTTTCACCATCTGCATTGAGCAACCGCTGAAGGGTGATGTGTCTGTCCATAAAAACCTTGAAGACCTCTACTCTG